CAGTGTAATGCATTTTTTATTGTAAGCAACTCTGAACTTCTGTGAGGAAAAAGCCAAGTACAAATAACCTGCATTAAGTAATTAGAGCAAGCTTCCATTTCAGCAGCCAGCAATGCTTTAACTTATTGTTTACATATATAGCTCCAGGTGGTGCAGTGGGTACAAGATTGGACTGGGCCGTGAAGCTCACTCTCAGCCTAACCTACCTCACAGGGTTGTTGTCAGGAGAAAAATGGAGAGGAGAATTAAGTTTCCTTGGGCTCCCTGAAGGAGGAAGGTGGGATACAATGTAAAAGTAAAAACAGCTCCCCTTCACCCCTGAAACTTTAGTAGGAAGAGGTGCCAAGAGATTTTTTTTAATTAAAAATATCCTACCAAGATATAACTGATGTTGATGTCTTGAACTCAGACCCTGAGCCTAACTTACTTAGGCACAGGTCAAAGAGCCGGTGTAGCTTAACGGTGTGTGTGTGGACTGAGGCTCAGAAGACCTGACTTCTGACCCTCCCTGCCCAGCCCTGGCGCTCCCTGGGGGACCTTGGGCCAGCCACTGCCTTTAAGCCTAACCTCCCTCACAGGGCTGCTGTAAGGATAAGCAGCCTTGGGCGCCCTGCAGGAAAAAGGTGGGATAAAGGTTAAATAAATAAAGCAAGCAAGCAAGCAACAGAGAACAGCCTGCAGGAATGTGAACTCCTCACCCAGAGCATAAGTAACAGAAGAGCAGGAAACCCGACTCGGGAGTCTTCTGGAGCGCTGGTGCTTCCCAATGCAATGCCAGCCCACTGATCAGATGTAACCGCTGCCTCTTCCACTCTTGTTTTATAAAGCCGTTTGCCTCAGAGGAATGAAGCTGAGCATCAGGCCAAAATACCACAGCAATATGCTTATCATTTTTTAAAGAAAACATAAAATAATGGATTGTAGGCTTTTCCTCATAGTTGTTAGCTGTTTGACTTAATGTGATTCTTCTAATCATTAGATGGAGCCTGTTACATTACTGAGTTTCTCAGGTTTTATTCTGATTTTTTATTTTTATTTTTGGGCGAATACAAACTGTTCAACTTAATGGACTCGGTCTTGGCATTCGTCATCAGTGTTAAACCCAAAGCATGCTGCTTGGCCCAGCAGAGGAGCGTTTCAGCACTTGCTGGGAGAGGCAAAGCTGTCCTCTGCATCCCAAGCGCAGAGCATGGAGGCATCCGCTCAGGGTGGACCCCATTCATGTGAAGAGACTGACCGTTCCCCCTGCTGCTCTGCTGTCTTGTGCTCAGCAGCAGCAGCAGAACAGCAGTGAGAAATGCCATCCTAGCCATGTTCAGACAGAAAGGATTCTGCATGGCTGGCTGGGGCATGCTGGTCCTTTTCCTGCCTAAATATGCCCAGGATCGGGTCCTAAGCTGCTTATGCCTGAGGTCACCTTGCAGCGTAACAGCAGCCCTGCAAGTCATCGCAGGCACATTTGGTATCGCTGATCTTCGTACTGGGGGACAAGGTGAAGAAGCCATGATGGAATGAAAAGGGCCAATTCCACCACCAGAGTCAGGCAATTTGAAGGTGGGAAATCGGGATGACCTCTGCTCTCCCCGTGTGGCAGCTTCTCCCACATCTGTCCACTGAAAGAGCTGGCACTGTGGCTTTCCTATGTAACAGCTTCCCCACACCGGTGCTTTCTGGATGTTGTGCACGGCAATGCCCAGCGCTCCTGATAGGAGCTGAGCTCCAGGACATCTAGAGGGCATCAAGCTGGGGAAGGCTGCTGTAAAAGATAAAGTGGCAGGAATCACAGTCCTCTTTTACTACAATGTAATTCACCAAGCTTTCTTGCACTACTGCAAGCATCCATGGCTTAGATCCGATTTCTGCAGGATCAGGCTCAGCATTCACAAATTATGAGTAATTCCTGCTCAAGTCTTTTAAGATAACCTTGCCAAAGAATCCCTCAGAGCATTCCTCACGGAAACCCAGATAGCTTCAGGCCCTGGAACTTGGAAGAAGTACAGATCTGGCCAGAGGCCCACTGAAACTTCATCACTCAAAAGCCATTCTGCCTGTAGTGCAGTGTTCAAAATTCCACAGCTGAATGGCTGAAGTTTATTAAAAAATAATATTAGTTGCTAGACTAGTTCATTAAAATGATAGGTTTAGAAATTTAAAAAGATAACATTAACATTAGAGAAAAAAACATTCAAATTGAAACTCAGGTGAAGTCTGGAGAATCTCACTGGAGGCAGGGTAAGGCAGGCAATTAACATGGGAAAACGACCACCCTGCACACTTGTGGGTCGAGAGACACTACAGACCAGCAGCCGTTTACTTGTTGAAGTTAGAAATAATCTGTGGTCATCTGAAGCCCTCTGGTAGATGCCAGTTTGTTTCCTATGCCAGGTCTGGAGTTCTTTTTACTTGCACAACCAGGCTCGAAAGGCACTATCAAGACTCTCCCATTCCCTTCGATGCCACACGCCAGGCGTGATCACAGGCCAGTGGCTACAAGGGAGCATGGTGCCACCCTGATCAGCAAGAACTGCCATTACAACAACTGAAAGCACATGGAAACTAAATGCTTAACCTTGTACTTTAGAACACTGGTAAAGCTCCTATTTAAAACCATATACCAAGCACTCTTTTGATGTTTTTTGTGTAACAACCACTGTTCTCTTCCAACCCATCCAGTCCTGAACTTCCCAAATATCTGATTAAACGTGTATTTTCAACATGACAGCTGATGCACCTTTTTCAATATCTTGAATGCAATGCAAAATTGATTTGATTGCCTTGCCTTTGTGAGGACAAAGATCTTCACATGTGCAGCCTGAAGGAGTTACAGTGAAGGGCGGATGGTACTGATGGTGAGGTCTGGTGGGCAACTAGAGGTAGTTTGCTGCCTAGAGCTCCACGGATCAACATTCTACCGTGTAAGAAGACACAGCCCATGTTTATACAGACACTATTGAGGAACTGGAATCATGTACAACAGGAGTAGGCAGAAGCTAGGCTTGTGAGAGCTGTTTTGCTGTTCACCAGAATCCCGAGAGCCACCAACCAGAACCCAGTGTAAAATACCTACACCTGGAATTAAAGAATTCTGAGCTGGGTGTTTGGAGTACCGGGGCTGAATGGAGCTCACTGTCCTTCCACACAAAACCCCCTCCTGATTGCTCCAAGCATTCTTCATTTCCATAAGAGGAAGTGATTTTGCTGCTGCTATTCTGAAATAGTTGGCAGTAGAAACTCATTGCCAATATCTTGCAAACAGCCTAGGGATCTACCAGTACATCCAGATCTACCTTCAGCCTACCTATAACATTAGAGGCCAGATGAGAATAGGAAAGAGCAATTTAGATATAACTGACCTTTCTGTTTGCTTCCAACAGGAGAGCAAGGACGTGGCTTTACCGGAAGGAGCTGCTTCAGAAATCCCACTTGCCCCCATCGCACCCACAGATGACTATTTTTCTCTCATCAATCGCATCCACATCAAGCAGCTGGAAGCCACTACAGGCAAAGTTAAAAGTCCAGCCCCCAAGCCTGCCAGTGCCCAAGACCCTAGCAGCTCCTCCTAAAGACCTAGACCTGCAAGACCTGCAAGACCAACCCTACCATTGGTTGCTGTAGCCTCTTGTTTCCTCCACCTAAAGCTAAGGACCCCATCTACAAAACCTTTAATAAGAAAGTTTCCTCTCTTGTTCAGTTTCTTGCAATTCCCTCTCCCTGCTTTCAAGCAGCAAAGCATTTTCTTTGCATGCAGAAGGTCCCCAATTTGATCCCCAACATCTCCAGCTATGGCTAAGACAGACTCCTGCTTGAAACCCTGAAAAGCTGCTGCCAGTCAGTGTCAACAATGCTAGGCTAGATGGACCAGTGGCCTGACTCATGCTGTCATGATGTCCACTCTAAATCCTTCTGCTATTAGACACCTGCACACACCTTCTTTCCCCATTCCCTCAAGTGCATGGGATACATGCAGCTCCATCCCAAAAGACCTTGTGTTCCTAACACCACCACCCCACTAGAGTAGCCCTGCCCTGCCCTGCCCTACTGTCTTCTAGTGTCCTTCCCCAGTCTCAGGAAGCTCTACCAAAGTGTACAATTGCCATAGAAGAACCGTTCTTAGAACTGGATGTCTGAAGTGTGGTTATTTATGGAACAAAAGTATGTTCTGCAAGAAGACACACTCATGAAATTATTTTCCCAGGAATGGATTTTGCCAGAATCATGCTGTTTTCATAAGAAGTCAATTGAGGCAGCAATCCCTTGTCCAAACATAAGTGAGTAGATGTTCCTTTTTGTGGAGTCCTATGCACATTAGACAAGATGTAAAAAAAATAAATGACATCTCAGTAAAAAATCTTCATCCGCAGCACGACTGAAACCACTTTCTTCCTGGCTTCCCAATTTGCTCAATTGACCAATATTTCAGAGAATCATATCCTTGTTCAGCCTCCATTCTCACCTCTTCCTTCCATGCTTCAGGCAAGCTGCCCGACCTTTTAGGAGGGTTTTAAATATACACATAATATATGTGTTTATTTATTCAGCTCCCTCATTTTTCTTTCTTTTTTTTTTAAGCCACACACCCAGAGCTGCAAAAAGGCTCTGGGGATAAGGGGAGCAGGCATTTCATTACAGAATTAAGTGATAAGTGCTTTCCATGGGCAGCACTTCCCTACTCCAACTCAAATCTGAATCCATTTTACCTAAGAGCTGAATTATGCGTGATTACCAAGCCATGAATCTGCTGTCATCACTCTCAAAATGATACATTTCCAGGTGTCCAAGGAAAACGAAGCATCCCTGCCTTTTCCTTCCTATGCCCCACATAAAGCTTCATTATGTAGTATTAATAATATAGTAATTGCTCTCCAGAAATGTAGTTTTGGGCTCCAGAAGTCAATGACAAACCAGCTTAGTAGAACTCACAGACATACTTTTTTACAACCTTGATGCTCCGTTTCAAGCCAAGGACCAAGTGAAGCACAAAGACACCAGGATACCTTTACTGGAAGATATGCCGAAGGTCACCCTTCTTACAGATACAGTGCTTTTATTCTAAGTGGCTCACAATACAATGGCAGGGGTCAACAGGGACAGAATAATGTGACAGAAATAGGCAACGTCCACTTCACTTTCCCCTCAGTCTTACATGAAGAACTTCTATTCGGGAATGAGAGGTGGAACTCTTCTCCTTGCAATTCCCCTCATTTCATCATCCACAGAGTCCTGGAGGAGTACAATCCAGTTAAAGAAGGACACCAGTGACAGCAATTTGGTTGAGAGTGCCTCAGACTGTGGCGAGAGGGAGAATGCCACACCCTTACTCTTTCACCATCTGCAGCTCCTGCTCCTCCTGCCTCTTCCTAATTCGCTCTTTGAAGGCTTCCAACTCCTTTCTCTGGAGAAGACAGAAGTGCCTGTTTCACCATCCGTTTCTCTTAGACACACAATCACAAAATTCATAGCTGAGGTATATTTACCTGGTAGTCATTTTCTGGTGGAAAGATTTCTTTCTGCAGGAAAGAGTTCAGAAAAAGAATCATGCAACTGCAGGCATGGAATGACTTGGAAGTCACACTGAATACCCCAGAATACCAAATCAATACTTCTTAAATTTTACTGAGATGCACAATCAGAGTGCAGATGAACTGCATCAAAGACTCAGAGAAAGCCAGTTATATGAAGGAGCTATGCCATGCAATAAGCAAACACATGCATACTTTAACAGAAAGTAGGGCAGGGGGAAGTCCTAGCACACTAGACATTCTTGCTTTACTTCCCCTCCACCTCACACCCCCCCCCCCCGCAATTTATATCCTGCCTTTTTCTACAAAGGGCTCAAGGCAGCTTACATCATTCTCCTCCTCCATCTGATCCCCACAACAGCCCTGTGAGGTAGGTTGGGCTGAGAGTCTGTGACTGGCCCAAAGTCACCCAGTTGGCTCCATGGCTGAGTGGGGACTAGAACCCAGATCGCCTGATTCCCAGTCCCATGCCCTTAACCACTACGCCACACTGGCTCTCTTAGTCCTAAATGCTTAAGATTGTAGCATACCATATACCCTAACAAATATGAAGCATTTTCTTAGGGACTAGCAAACTCTGCCCCACCACACATCCCATTTTCAGTTATGATGCTTCAAGGAAGAAAACCAGCATTCCAGTGAGGCTGGAGGGGCTTCATATATACTACATTGTCACCAGACAGGACTGGCTAGAAACATTTGGAAAGAGCATCTTCTAGTAAGATGAACTTGCCCCAGAATAAAACAAAGAATGGAACTATCTTCTTATTGTTTTAAGCTATTCCTGTGCATAGCAAACTCAAGATTGCTATAAGAATGTTAGCTAAAAAAGAGCCATTGTGAAACAGGTGGAACAAAGATAACTTTTGCAAACAAACACTCCAGTCTCAAAACTTAGTAGGGGAAATAAACCCTCTCACAAAACCCAAAACAGCATAATGAGAACTGAACATGCTAGGCAGCCACAGAATATAGAGTGGTTATTAAAATATGATAATTGAAGGTTGAGTGGAATGTCATCCTTGGAGGAAACAGGCTAGCTGGGAAACTGAAAAGGAGGAAGAGTAACTACATTTTGTTGCAGGTTCCACTTGTTACTATACTTGTTTGACTTTGCTCATGTGATCGTAAGAGACGAATGGCTCTTGCCAAATGGTGGACCTGCACCAATTAAGTTAAAAATGTCTTGGTGCACAACGCCAGATTTTGGAATAACCAGCTGTAGGAGCCAGGATGCTACCATGGGAACTGAGCATTCAGTAACAATATTGTCACAGTGTTTCTATTCCAATTCTATTTCTATTCCAATTCCAGAGCTGAAATTAACTGCAGAATGGAAAAACAGGAAGGACAGGAAAAAAAAACATAGAAAGTTTTGACATCACTGCAATATTTCCCCCTTCTAATCATAGAAGACCAACCTTCCGTTTGATTACATATTCTTCAAAATATTCTGACTGGTTAGAAATCCAGAACATACCGACTGGGAATGTCAAATACACTAACATCTGTAGGACGAAAAGAAAGGGAAATGCGATATTCCTGCATCCAACATGATACCTTGCAGAATTGTACCAGATTCCATCTGACTCAATGTATATATGGAAAATACAGATATTTGATGCTGCATTTATTTCACGGCAAACCAAATCATTGTTTGTAAGAGCCCGCTCAAGCAAGGGGACCCCCCCCCCCCCGCAGCAGAATATCCCATTAGCTGAAATTGAGAATGTAGGTGCTGTTCCACGACAACTCCCATCATTGACTGGGCTGCCTGGGGCTGATGGGAATATCTGTCCAGCATCATCGGGACAGGGGCTCTCCCTTGCTCCCATCAACGGAAACACCCACGGGTGCGGGGGGGGGGGGTGGCCGTGCCCTGTCGCAGGTGCTCAAGCCCTTGCACTTTATCCCATATCTTGGGTAAGCAGCCCGCCAAGATAGAGCAGGGGGACTCCAGCCATGGGGTTCAGCGCGCAAGGGGGGAGGGGGCACGCGCCCTTGCAGAGCCCCCCTCGGTCGCCCACGCAGGAATCTGCCCATCCCGCGGCCCAGCGCCCAGCGCACAAACCCGGAACACTTCCAGCTTCACCCCCATCGCGCCGCTGCGTCGATCCAGGAGAGCGCCCCGCCCACCACAAACCCCACCCTCTAAGGCGGAGCCCGGTCGCGGAGGGAGAAGGACAAGGAGCATCACATCCCTCCCTCCTGGGCGACCAATGGGAAGGCCGCTGATGAAAGGTGCCTGGATGACGTCAGCGGAGGAGGAGGGGGATCGAGAGAGCGACGGCGATAGCGCCGTGGTGCGTCATTTTGGCGCGCCCTGCTTGGCTTCGGAAGGCGGAGGCCGCGATGCCGGAGCTGGAGACGGTGTTGGGGAAGCGGGAGCTCTTCTTCGTGAGTGGGACCGCGGGTGGGTGGGTAGGGGAGTGGTGCTCCGGGAAACGTGTTCTGGTGGATACTTCACCTTCGTTGCCTCGCAGAGCATATTTTGGGACAGCGCAGCCCCTTTGCAAGCCGGGACCCCCTGAAGTCAGTGCCTCGAGCGTCTGTGGGGCGCTTCCCCCCCCCCCCCCCCGCTGAATAAGCAGGCCATGCGAAGGAGACACCGCGGAGTTCCCATGTGCGAGCTTCTCCCTTTGCGAATACCTTTCAAGAAGATCTCCCTCGTTGTGAAGCGTGAGGGGTCCTAGGTCAACGGCGTAGGAGGGAAGGGAGCATGGTCTGTGAGGGACTCATAGTGGTCATAAGCAACTATCTTTATGGTATTCCTTAGGGAAGTCTTATGTTTTTTATCGCACAGGAGGAAGAAGACCTGCAGTATGAGGAAGAGATCTTGCGCAATCCCTTCTCTGTCAAATGCTGGATCCGTTACATTGAGTTCAAGCAGAATGCTCCCAAACATATCCTGAACCTGATCTATGAGAGAGCTCTTAAGGAATTGCCAGGCAGGTATGCAATTGTGCCTCTTTCTTAGGTGGAGAGTGCTATGGCAAACTGACTGAGTTCACATGACATGGCAGCCCTTAATGGGTTACTAGCCATGATGAATTGTCATGTTATGCGCATTCAGGCTGCTTTCTGCAGGGTAGCTTGTGGACAGCAAGTCATCCTGTCAACCCATGGTTTCTTGTAGGGATTGTTGAACCTATAATGAGTTGTCCTGTCATCACCAATTGACCTGTCCATTGTGGGTCCAGGTAAATACTGAGTGAACTGTTAAACAAAGGTGGCAAATACTGCTTGTCAATGCTAGTGACAGCTGTTCCACCAGGTACCCAAGTAGCTCTTTAGAATGAGAGTCGGTGGCTTAATGTCTGCTATGATTGTGAACCCTTTGAGCACCCTGTAGTTCCCCACCCCTTTTTTCTTCTTTTGGATACTGCTTTTCTTTTTAAAACTCTCTTGTTTTTGGACAGGGAGATATGCAAGGATGAATCAACGTATAGTTTCCAGTCAAAAGAAGTCAATGTAAATATTTGGCAGAGAAATGCTTATGAAAAGCACATGGAGCACCCCATGAATTTACTTCCCTGAGTCACAGGAGACTCAGCAGAGAGTGAAAAGTGGGAATACTGGGGACTATGGGGTAGAACACTGAGCCCTTATGTCCAATAAGATGAGATAAAAGATCAATCGATCAATAGAGTCCTGAGGATCTGAGTGCAGAGGAGGAAAAAGTTGCCACCCTAGTTTGCAGGCAAAGATCCCTCACAACTTTGCTGTCTCGTGATCTCTCTTTGTCTAACAACTGTCAACAGAAAACAAAATAACAAAATAACCTTTTTACAGGCTCTCCTGATCATTGTCAGTGCTTAGTGTCCCAAGATGTCAGTGATGGGACAGTATATAAAAGTGATAGATAGATAGATAGATAGATAGATAGATAGATAGATAGATAGAGCCTACAACATTTTAACAGCAAACATTTTCTAGGACGCTATTCAGGCAAGCCTGTCCATTTTGGCTCTTTGGAGTTGCGTACTTGTGCAACATCAGAAAACTTGCAAATAAGAAAAACCCACCCCAAATTGTGCACATTCAGTTGTGCAAAATAAAGAAAAAATAATAAGTTGCAAATCACTTTCAAGCTCGCCAGCATGCTGGGTGGGAACTTTGGAAGGGCTGTTAGGAGTTGTCCTTTTGAAGATTGCTAATAGTGATCTCCAGGATAAAAGTTATGGAGAGTGAAAAGGGGTTTCTGATCTCAGCAAGGAGAAAAGGCAGTTTCAGCTGGGATACTTCCAAGAAGACAGAGCAGAAAGGAGGGAACCAAACAACCCATGGTGTGCCCTGTTGTCTGTTGAGCACTTCATAGGTTGTTCCATGAATAATCCTTATTCTCAGGGTGGGTTGCTGTGTGAACTTACTCTGTGTATGTGTATACAGACAAGAAGTAGGATATATTTTCCATTGCCACATTATTGTAAAAATGATAGTAAAAATTTTAAAGTTGCATATGTAGGGATAACTCAGGCTCTGTTAGAACCCTTTGGAGGTTTTACCCATAGCCTAATTTCTGATCTTTTTGGAAATAGTCCTGTAAGATTCCCCCATCCTCCACATCCCATTATGTTTTGCAGCTACAAGCTGTGGTATAATTATCTGAAGCAGCGGCGGAAACAGGTGAAAAGCAAATGTGTGACAGATCCAAGCTATGAAGAGGTGAACAACTGCCACGAGCGTGCCCTTGTCTTCATGCATAAGGTACAGTTGTAAGCGGCATGCTTAGAGGGGCTGGTGAAGCCAGGGAGGAGTGGAGAAGTTATGATGGCTGGCATCCCGGTTTGGTTGTGATGACATCTGTGGGAAGGCCTCGTGCTCTAGAGTTTCTCCTTAACTGTTTCATTGATGTAGTTTAAACTGGCAGCCTCTACTCCGTAAACAGAGATTGTAAGCTTATTAAAAAGCTCTTTGGAAATGTTAGGTCAATGTGGTGCTGCAGCAAAAAAGACAAAATCAGTGTCGGTCGTGAGTGTAAAAAAAGCTGAAAACAATACAGGTATCATACTGCTGTTGAAGAAAAGGAATTTCTCTCTGTATTTATGTTAAGTAAATAGGTTTAGTACACATGCACACCAGCAATTGCAGGAGAGAGACGTGAAGCTAACAGAGTGTCCCCTGGAAGCAATAAGTGTGTCTGCCCGCAAAGAAATGCTCCTTGCATGTATAGCATTACTTGATTAAAGAGAGGGAAATAGAAACCTGTTCAATTATTATGTTTGTAAATTGCAGTGATCACAAATAAGAGAAGGGTTTGTTAGTTGATTTCTCTGCTGGCTTTGATGTTGATTTACAACATGTGCCTTTCATCTTGTGTCAAATTAAAAAATGAGATATACAGAGACAGATTACATCCCAGGTTATCACAGAGAGCCATGATTAATTATGTCCTGACTTTGTCAAGAATGTGTACTAATTGTCTTCTCAATACATATGTATGGTTTACTTATCAGGTCTAGTTGAAAATATTCAAGGCTTGTGCATCTCCTACTTCTGCATTGCCATTATTTAAGACTGGAAGCAACCATTGTTTTTCTCTGTGTTGAAAGTTCTGTGTAACGCAGGGCTGGCCAGACCTAGCCTAACGAACTCATGTGGCTCTCTGAGTTTATTTTGGTGGTTTGCTAACCCCGGGCACTCACTTGCAGCTCTCAGACATCTGACATTTGCCATACGTGGCTCTTCTCTTGAGCAAGTCTGGCCACTCTGGTATATTGTCTCTAGGAAACAGACTATGTAGTTCTGGAAAGGCATGCAAACCCTCTTTGACTAATGAAAAAAGTGGGATTAAAAAATTTGTAGATACTTTGAGAACAGTAATGATTCCAAGTTACTTTCAGCTCTCTTAAAAGCAATGATCCATTTTCAGCCTCTACCTGTGGTTTTCCCACTTTTAGAATTTTGCATGTTTTTCCCCAAAAGAACATGGGAAAATATTTCAACAGCGGCGTGGCATCTTCTTTATGAAAAAGGGCTTATGAAGTTGGGGATTTTTAGTTTAGAGACAATGACTGAGAAGTTTATAAAATCAAGACTTGTTTGGTGAGATCAAATAGCAAGAAAATAAACCCCAAAGTCTGGGTTATCAACTAATTGTTTGACAAATTGCTTTAGGGCAAGCAAAGGGAAATATTTCATACAACACATCATGACTTAGTGTGTATCTCACAACTCACATGTGAGCCACTTCTGTTTATTGTAAGCTACCTCCAATTGGCATAATTGGAGATTGTCAGATTACTGTGCAAGCCTGGACTGCTGGGTTATTCAGGGGCTAAGCAACCCTGTGGTTAACCCATGCTTTTCTGTTTAGTTAACTGCTGAGTCCTTAAACTCAGTGGTCTGGGTTCACACTTCATGCAGCCAGCTTTCAGTCGCCTAACTTGGAGGTTGTTTGCAAACATCACATGCAAATTATATCTCCCGGCAAATACTGGGTTTGTTGCTGCTTCATGCAAAATGCCCAATCAGGTATAGAATCTCTGTAGCAGAACGGTCGTGCTTAAATACATTAATTGACTTGAAAAGATCTCTCAATGCTACTAGGCAGAATAGCTGAGATTGGACCCTGTATATCCAGAGCCAGTGTCCTGCCTGACTGCTGCATGCTGGGACAAGCAGGTATTGTCATTCTAGCTTGCTTGTGAACATCCCAACAGTATCTGATTGCTGGGCTGGGCTGTTGGAGCAGACTGTTAATCTGATCCAACAAGTTACATTTGTTGCATTTGAATTGTTTTTTGTGCCTGTAGATGCCTCGGATATGGCTCGATTACTGCCAGTTTCTCATGGACCAGTGTCGGATCACCCGTACACGCAGGACATTTGACCGGGCACTTCGGGCCCTGCCGATCACACAGCACCATCGTATATGGCCACTGTACCTCAGGTTTGTGCGCTTGTATCCCTTACCTGAGACAGCTGTACGGGTCTACCGTAGATACCTAAAGGTAAGAGAACCAGCCTGTCCCCAGTTAACTTTCCCTGTTTAAGAATGTATTTATTAATTTATTTTATTTGGGCGACTTCTATGCTGCCCCATTCGCCGAAGCCTCGGGGCGACTCACAAACTATAAATAAATAAAATTCAATAAAACAATATAAATTAACAATATAAATTAAGTCGCCCTGGCCAAAGAAT